CCGTCTCAAAAAAAAAAAAAAAAAAAAAATCGGCAATAGGAATGTAAAATGCTGTAGCCACTTTGAAAAACAGCCTGACAATTCCTCAAAATTTTAAACATGGAGGTAATCATGTGATCCAGCAATTCTCCTATCAGGTATGTACACAATAGAAATGAAAATTCATATTCATATAAAAATTTAGATGTGAATGCTCTTACCAGCATTATTCATCATACTCAAAAAGGGGAATTAAACCAAATTTCCATCAACTGATGAATAAACAAAATGTAGTATATACACACAATGGAATATTATTTTACAATAAAAAGGAATGCAGTACTGGTACATGCTATGACATGAATGAACCTTCATAACAACTGTCTTCATAATCAAACATTTTATGTCTTCATTATCTAACATTTAAAACATTATGCTAAGTAAAACAGCAAGTCACAAAATGCCACATATCATTACATTTATATGAAATATCCAGAATAGGAAAATCTCTACAGACAGAAGGCTTAGAGGTTGCCTACAGCTGGGGGTGAAAGCTGGTTTGGAGAGAATTTGGGAGTGACCACTAAGAAGTATAGGCTTCTTTTTGGAGTGATGAAAATGTTCTAAAATTGATTATGTTGGCGATGACACTAGTGCCAAAAAATAAAATAAGATAAAATAAAATAAAATAGGTTATTGTGATGGCTGTACAATGCTGAAAATACTAAAAACCACTGAATTTATATACCTTAAATGGGTGAATTACATGGTACGTGTAGTAATATCTCAATAAAGCTATTTTAAAAACAGCTTGACTAAAATTTCAGATAACTTTTAGACATATTTTCCTCATTTAGATGTACTAAATATTATCCACCTACCTTCTTAGCCATACCTTCTTTCAGCTAGATTTACCACTAAGGGAAACCAAATGTCTGCTTATTTGCCTCAGTATCTACACATGGAGTTTACTCACTAATATAAACTCCCATAAAACCATAACCAAATGGTAAATAAATTAAAAGACAGTGTTTATTTCATTTCTTATAAATAGAGTTCATACTAAATGTCACGGCTTCATTGATTTACTCTGAAAGCCACACTTTTTAACACGGACTTCTAGACACATACATCAATCTGTAATAGTCTTGAAAATCTGGTTCATTGGCACCAAAAAATTATCTGTTACTATGTATTCATGGGAGGGAAATCCAAAAGGTATGCCTTTCAATAATTCTATAGGGACTGGACTGGTCCATGGAAAGCAAAATGACATTTACTCCTGGGCCTGCTTTATTAAGATCATTTCTATGATATAAGGCTCAATTCTATAGATTAAAATTATAAAGATTAGAACATGAAAAGCTGCACTTCTTACAGTTCTCACTCTTATACTCAGATTCTAGTCTGTAGATCAGAATTCTTAGGTTTGGAAAAGTATTTTTTCACAAAGGGCCCATATTAAAAGGGTCCTGTATCATAATTTATCTGGTTTCTTCTTCCACAGTATAAATGTTTGGATTTTTTTGAACATGTCCTTGCCCAAAAACTCTAGTCATGAACAAGCTTATTAAAGTTTAAGTCTCAGAAGAACAAGGCCTGGGGTCTATCATTTTCCAAGAAAGACCAGTCAACTCTAAAATCCACTGGATGTTAAATACTAGTAGGACAAGTTAAACGACGCATAGCCCTTAACATTTATGAAACGAGCACCGAATTGACACAGTGGGACTCTATTCCTATCACTACGTATCCCAAAAAAAACTATCCACCCAAACTAAATATGCAGAATCTTTTCTTGTCCAATTAATAGCAATATTTTGTGTCAGTTTCAAAAGCAAGAATCCTACCTTGAGAACTGTATGAAAGCCTGTGGTCACTATGAAATTCCGATGAAGCCATGATGAGGCTCAAAATCCAGGTCAACGTCTTCCACAAAATTTCCATAATTTAGAAAACTGGATGATTTTTTTGAGGGCTACCTATGTGCTAAAGAGTCAACACCATACCAAAATCGAAGCATAACAATTTTATTTCTTTAAAACTTCTTGTAAATTAGTTATTGGATGTTCCACTGTTTAAGAGGCACTTTTATCCAACATCCTGCACTTTCTTCTATATCTGGATTCATTTTCTCAATCCAAAATGAAAAAATAATGATGGTAAAAGTTTTCATAAGCAAAGCATTAGGCTGATTAGTTACTAAAGTATGGCCATTTTTTAACCTAGAAAAAAAAAAATTTAAGTTAACTGAAAAATATCCAGAATGAAAAAATCCAAGTCCTATATAGTACTGAATCCTTGCCAAAAGACGTAACTACAAAATAATATAGCTAAATTAGACCATTGTTACTCTTTGTAGTCTAAATAAACATTCACAAGATTAGACACAGAATTAGAGACCTCAATGGTTATCAGCATAATGCCAGAGCTACTTAATAATCAAATAAGGAATCTAAAGAGAAATCATAATTCTTTTTAAAAAACTTTGAAGATAACAATGATGGGCAGTGAGTTAACTTCCTTTTGATAAAATAAAGTCAGCTGACTTCACTACCTCAGTTCATTAAATGTAAGTGACAAACAATTTGTGATCCCATTCCATAACATGCCTTTTAAACACACTCATATCCAGATATTGTGTTGCTTTATAAGGCACCTATCATTTTTTTTCTGACAAAGTAGATCTACAAATACAGTGACATTTAGCAGCCATCTGTGAACACTAAGACAGTATCAGAAACTAAACTTCTAAAAAGTTGAACTATATGTACCATAACCCTTGACTTTACTTGGAAGTCTTATGTGACTTACAAGGCAACTCATGAGTCAATTTCAACTCTCTGGAATGTAACTTAAAAGAAATTTTAAAAACTTCATTTCAAGTATTACAACAGATTTCAAGTCCTATCTCATGTACTTTACTTTCAACTAACAACCTCACTCAGAGTCTTCATTCACACTTGATACAGAATAGCATATTTGGCTGCCTGATTTCCCAGGATACAGCAGATCAGAAGAAGAAAATAACTAAGAGACTAAAAACTAGCCATAAACAGCAAAACTGTGACCCAAAAAAAGGATAAAAAACTAAAATGTAGTTTAAGAACCCCAAAGTAATATAGTTTGGGGTAGAGGCAAATGGGTCTTACATAGTTTAACAGTTCCTATTGTATGTATAACTGTGTTATATAGTTCAATATCTGACATTCATAATATTATGCCTGAGTCCAAAATAAGAAGATAAATGCTTTTAATAAGATACGTTACTGTTAATAAGTTAGGAAAGTACACAAAAGATATTAGAAAGATTTTCATTCCAAATCCCTAATATATAAAATTTTCACATACTAAATACTTAATATATATTTGTTGGTTGAAAAAAATGGATGAGTAAAAGAATGAATAAATGAATAGTGGTTAAAATAAAATCACTTTAGGCATATAAAAAGTATTTGTAGTTACCTGTAAAATTAACTTATGTGAAACACTTCATTCCCTGCGGTGCTAGAAATATTGGTACATACAACATATAAAACAACAACAGCCATTTAAAATTCCTTACATCTGTCTCTACAAGTTATTAAACTGCTAAGCCTTGGAAAAGCTAATTCATTAATCAATAAATATTGTCCTACTATGTTAAAAAGATGATGTTATAACAACATCAGAATACAGAAAAGGATTAAGGGAAACAGAAAAGATTAAGATTCAATCCTTGCCCTTGGGGAGCTCATAATCTAAACAACAAGGAAAAGTGTAAGGCAGACTGACAAATGCCATGACAAGGTTGTGCAAAGTTGTTGTGGGAGATCAGATGAGGGAGATAACTTCTGGGTCAGAGAAGAATTGATCAAGGAATGTTTATGGAAAAAGCAGCATTTCAGACAGATCCTGGAAGACGAATATAATTTTACAAATCAAATTGCTGAAGGTAATCATTACAAATAGAAGAAATGCATTCCACAAAGTCTAGATAACCAGAAAAAAAAAATGGGAAATAGTAAACAATATTAGTAATAATAGCAATAGCAAATTTTGTTCCTGTGGAAAAAAAAAAAATAACAGGTAATAACCAGAAAGGTAGTTTAAGATCAGACCAAAAATAAAAACCTTTAAATATATATTGCTTCTTTTAATCTCCAAAACAATCTTGTGAAGTAAATATACTCTGCCCCTGTGGTAGAGTAGACTCTGATGAGCCCATAAAAATAATCTGGCTTCCTCATATCCATTCCCTTGTTCCCCTCCTCTTAATTTGATTCTAACCAATAGAATATCTCAACTTTGAGGGGATATCACTTCATTATTACATACAAAAGATTCTGACTTCCATCCTGCCAGCCACATCTTTCCCTAATTGGTTTAGATGAAGCAAGCTGTCATTTGGTGAGGCCCACATTGAAGAAACTGAGAGCAGCCTCTGATATCACTAACAAGGAACTAAGGCCCTCAGTCAAACAGTATGCAAGAAACTAAATCCTATTCAGTAATAAGTGAGCTTAGAAACAGGTTCTTCCCCAGTCAAGCCTTCTGTAAAGACCCTAGTCCTTGGCAACACTTTGTAGCCTCGTGAGATACACTAAAGCTGAGGACACAACCCCTAGATTCCTGACCCAGAGAAACTGTGTGATAATAAATGTGTATTGTTTTAACTCACTAAGTTTGTGGTAATTTGTTACACAGCAATTGATTACTAATACAGCCACCAATTCACAAATAAACTGAAGTTCACTGGTCAGATAGGTATAAAACAGTAGAGCCCAGATTCACACAAGGCTGTCTGATTCTAAAGTCTAAATTCTTTGTATTACATCACACTTTCAGTTTAAGGCACTCAAATTTAAACAGTCAATAGCAGTTAATAGCAACCAATGTCAAATAAGATTTTTTTTTTTTATTCAAGATGGAGTCTCACTCTTGTTGGCCAGGCTAGAGTGCAGTGGCACGATCTTGGCTCACTGCAACCTCCGCCTCCCAGGTTCAAGTGATTCTCCTGCCTCAGCCTCCTGAGTAGCTGGGATTATAGGTGCATGCCACCATGCCCAGCTGATTTTTTGTATTTTTTTTTTTTTTTAGTAGAGGCGGGGATTCACCGATCTCCTGACCTCCTGATCCGCTCGCCTTGGCCTCCCAAAGTGCTGGGATTACAGGCATGAGCCACTGCACCCGGCCAAGATATTTATAAATGGTATTGTTTAGTTAATGTGAATAGTTTTTAACAACTTCACATACAGTCATTGTTTCTTCTCAAAATTACTTCTACACTAATTTAGGCAAGATACCAGGTACTATATATCCTTTCTCAGGTAAAAATTTTTAGAGAGATTAAGTTATACCATTATTCAATAACAGCAATAAAAAGAATTCCATTATCTTGGTTTCCAACCTACTTAAATACAGTTTCCATACTCTAAACCTTCCCATGTAACTTTAAAATTATAATTGTTGCCTCATGAACAACATTCATTCTCATTGTTTTAATTTTTTTAAATCACTGGAGTGTTCTGAGTAATAAAATCTGACATTAAATGAGTCCCTCATATAGTTTAGGTTATAATCTTCCTTTAAAGAACATATATTTAACACATTTGAGTTAATTTTCTAGCAATGGAGATAGATTTGATTGAATCATTCATCCCTATTTTTCTGGGTTTTGAAACTACTGAGAAACTTACAATACAGTTGACTGGATTTAGGGAGTAACTATTTTTCCCTCTTGAGAAATGTCCTGCTCTTTTTGTAAATTGTTACAGTTTCATAACCTTCACTCTTACTTATTCTCCTGTAAATGCCCAAGTTAACTAAGCCAGTAGCATTGAGAAAAAAAAGTAATACCTATTTGGCCAGAAGTAGACTACCGTATGATTTAAAGATTTGCAGTAAAAAAGGCATTGGTGCATAGTTGAAAAAGCAGGAGCTTTGAAGTTAAACAAACCAGTTATAGTCTTGGTTCCAACACTAGTTACAATAGCTGGCATGTGAGTTTCTTTTTCCTTTATCGCTCCCTTGCTCCCTCTTTTTTTTTTTTTTTTTTTTTTGGCCTCCAGTGCTCAGTGAAGAAACTTAACATTAAGTAAATTAGTCTAGATAGAATTCAACTAGAATTGGCCAGGCATGGTGGCTCATACCTATAATCCCAGCACTTTGGGAGGCTGAGACAGGCAGATCACCCAAGGTCAGGAGTTTGAGACCAGCCTGGCCCACATTTCAAAACCTTGAATATACTAAAAATACAAAATTAGCCAGGCGTGGTGGTGCGTACCTGTAATCCCAGCTACTCAGGAGGCTGAGGCAAGAGAATCACCTGATCATGGGAGGTGGAGGCTGCAGTGAGCCAAGATTGCACCACTGCACTCCAGCCTGGGTGACAGTGAGGCTCGGTCTCAAAAACAAAAAACAAAAAACAAAAGAATTTAACTAAAATCAACACAACTAACAAATCTAATGACTCTTAGTCCCCTACAAAATAAAAGTGAATGAGTTAACCCACTTTCTGACACCTGGTGGGGAGGTTAATCTGGACACCATAAATATGTAGAGCCTGTGACTTTTCCAGATATAGTTTACAAAGTTCAAACTAACATTAAAATACTAAAGAGTTGTCCAAAAATTACAATGCATTGACCTTTTAAATTGTATAGCAGAAACATCATTATGTTGTGGAAAGCGCAAAGGCTTTGAGTCCTGGCCCGACCCCCAGTTACTTAACCTCTCTGTATCTGCTTTCTCATCTATAAAACCATGATACTGATGTCTATCTCACAAAGACTTGTTAAGAGATTAGATTACATATGATGTAAAGTGTCTCTGTACTTCACTTTAAGCTAAATAATATTAGCCCTCCTTCATTATCTAACATCACTTTTCAAAGGCCTTCCCTCAAAAATAGTTTCATGTTCCTCTTTCCCTCATAAATGTGAAATAAGTTAGATATGATGATGGAGTGAATCAACTAGTTACATCGTCTTTTACAGCAAGGAATAAAGAACTTCGGTCTTGATAATGATACTTATAACTACTTTAAATTTGAAAACAGAACCAAAACATCCATTTCACTTTGATTTCACGTATGCTTTTTTCCCTAACACAAATGCACCAGGCAGTAAAGTGATCATTTACCTGCTTCCATGGATCAAAGCTACACTACCTAAGAAGAAAAAAGATCACACAACTTGCACTATAGTGATTTCCTCAGTAGTCTGCTCTGGTTGGAAGGTATTACTTGTCTTTTTTCCTCTATCATCTTTACTTCCCACTCAAGTGATCTGGGAGTATCCAAGGTAATAATTTCCTCTTGTGAACTATTATTATGAAGCTAAAGAACATGTATAACGTTCTTCTCAACTTCTTTCATCCATCTTAACTCTGGTTATTTATTTAAGGCTGATTTGATCTCCATGGAAGAAACAACAATACCATGCTCGTTTCAGATATTTAAATTTTATATATGAAAATTAACTTCTTTCATTTTCCATTTATTCTCTCAACAAATATTTATTATCACCTACTGTATGCTAAGGACACAATTAGGCTCTAAGTATAAAGGTTTCTAGGTCATTTATAAAATTTGTGAGATTGGTTTCCAAGGAAAGGTGAAACTAAACACATAAATTACCCAAAACATATCTATCAAGAAAAGCAAACGAGCTAAAAGCAAAAACACAATCCATGATTTATAAAACTCAAGCCCTAAATTACATGTAGTCTCACACTTTTTTCCAGATAGCAAGTAAATACACATTATCTGTATTAGAAGTTTTTTCTCTTGAGGTTAGCTTGATAATCAACCATGTTTTTTGGCAGAAGCAAGAGAGCTATCCACCTCTTGCCCTCTTTTTCTCCCCACTACCCCCAACACATATTCCAAAATATGTTGTTAACTAACTCTCAATATGGTAACTCCCTTCATTCACTCACTAAAGTCACAAACTTGATAAGATTTGGCATAAAGACCCATCCTAGTAACTACTAGTGGTTACTAAGTAAAGAAAGAGGAAGTGCTAAGAGTAGACCAGAGTAGGAATTAATCTTACAGGTATTGGAATCAGACATGAGGAATATTACAGTATTTTAAGTCTTGAGGCTAGAAGTTTTTCTTCTTGGGAATCACAAAAATATTAAGACCACTACACAGATTTCATTTGCAGCCATTTGTGGCAAATGTTGTGGCAAATGAATGAATTTGACTTGTTTGAAATCAAAGTATTTGCCTCTAAATGCTATTCTTCAAAAATTCAAAACACTAATGATCACATTTAAGCACAAAATTAACATAAACTAGACTGCAGCTACCACTTTGCTGCAACACAAGAAAACAATTATCTCCAAAATTAATTTTCTTAATTTCTTTCAACTACACCAAGTTTGTGTTACATTTCTTTTCCTGTCATGAATTCTGAAAACTGTCATTCCCACATCTAAACATTTCAGTCTAATTAACAAAAACTAAAAAAGAAAGAAAAAAGAACAGAAAATTAGTCCACGACATCTGAACATAAAAAGAATATGTTGAAAATCACACTCAAGTGTCTTTTTTAAAGTTCCAAGCAATGGTTCAGTTTCCCTTTTTCTCTCTGCTCTGCACACCCTCACCTCCCCCCGTCCCCACCATTCCACTTCGCCCAGACAGAGGGTAACAGTCTGAGCTGCCCTGGTTGAGTTGATCCTAAAGTTAACATTCAGCAGCCCATTTCCAGACAGCAGCGCTAAATCTATTTGGATAAAACGCGTGTGACCCAGACAGTTGGCATCTGGCCCAAACGCGTTGCACCGGCAGCTCAAATAAAAACAAGAGTAAGAAACTCACTCTCTTGTTCCCTCTCAGTGCGCTTTCTCAATCTCTCGCTCACTTTTCCTCTAGTACAAGGAAAGAAAGCATCAAAGACAGGAATTGCAGCACATATTATCAGAAAGAGGCTTTCCAATACCCCATTCTCGCACTCTCGCTCTCCCTCCTCAATCCCTGAACTTTGGTCCCATACACCATATATACAGACATACCCCGATAAACAAGGCTCCGGAGGGTTATGAGTCTAGCACGTCCCAAGTGGCCAAAAGTAAATCAAAAACACACGCTTCCATCTCTTTGATTAGCCTATTAAGAGCTTAACATGTCCTAGAGCATCGGGGCTACAGCTAGCACATTAATGCTACCCTCTGAGTCCAAGCATAAAATATGCACTTGTCTGAAGACTTACGACACTGACATGAAACTACAAAATGCAGAAGACTTTTCTTTAAGAAAACTGGAAATCAATTTAAAACACACACATCACTATTACCTTCCGGATTACTATTTGGTGATCAGTTAAAAGATTACAATAATCATAATCAAGTCCACTTCACAAAACATGTATTGTATATTCATAAAATAAACGTATTTTTTGCATCATAAAATAATTGCAAGTCCCAGAATTCTACAACCCCCGACAAGTCTGGAGTTAAAAAGATATCTATTTGTAAAATGAGTTCAGTCAAGCTCACTCATTGCCATTTAAAAAAAAAAAGAAAAAGAAAAAAAAAAAACCCAAAACACACACACAGAAAAAAAGTTTTCTAAGCGTTATTCGGAAGACAAGCAAAGCACAAGTTGTTGGTTTAAAAAGGAAAAAAAGAAAAAAAAAAAAAAGCTTCATTGAATATTGTTAAGTCTTCCTTACCGTTTTCATCTTCAAATTCTGATAAAAAGTAAGTTTCAGACAATAGAGATTGCACTGGACGACTCACGTACTCCCTCTCTTCTCTAACTTTTTTTAATTTTTTTTTTTTTAATTTTTTGCCCCCCTTTGCAAAGCCACACCAGCCAGTTATTCTGCAGCCAGAATAAAACCCTATGGTCTGGCTAACCCGGGCTTTAGAGAACTGACTTTCCGATTTGGCAGAATAAGAGATGCCTTCAATACATCTAGGCTATCACTCTGAGATGCTGCCTTTGCAAACCCCCTTTCTCTCCCTCCCCACCCCCCAAAAAAGGAAAGGAAAAGAAAGAAAAGACGGGAAAAAAGACTTATTGGGGGTGGAAGTGGTGCCCTCTCTTCCTGGAAAGCTTAGTGCCTTTGCTATGCAAATAACATGTGCAGAGCATCAAAAGGTATCAGGAGAAAAGAAGACAAGAGGAGCAGGAAGGGCAGCAAAGTTTTGTTGAAGTAGCCCTAGATCTCACTACCGGCCCCCAGCCAACTTGAATTGCAGCAGGAGAAAATTTTGGCAGCTTTTCCTCGGAGGCAGAGCACACTGACGTCAGTCTGCAGATGTGCCTGGGCTGCGTCGGGTGCGCATGTGTCCTGGGTCGTCACGTGGAGGGGGAGGGGAGGTAGAGGTACAATCGGGGTAACCAACTACCAGCCATTCAGAAGGGCTTAGACAATGTCAACTTTTCCACACTGTGAATGAGAGAAATTCTGGCCTCTCTAACCTCTCTCCTATCTCACTCCGCCTCTTTTCCTCCTCCTCCTCTAAACTCTTAGAAATTCTAGCCTGGTTTGCTATTAGTTGTTTCTTGGAAAAAGGAAGGGGGAGGGAGAAGGATGAATGACTTTAGATGGACTAATGTCACTGTTAAGATCTCTGGTGTCATTCTCTGTGTAATTTTATTTTTGAACTCCACACAATCAAAATGTTAAAACTTGCACGTAAACAGTGCCTGTGAGGAAACTTAAAGCTTAGATTCGTGGAGCAGGCAGACATCAAGCCTCAGTAGCTACAAGTGTACAAAATGCCTGTGTTTTATACATACTTCAGCAAGTAAGGTTAGCACCAAAAGGAAAAGTAAACTAAAGTAAACTAATACCAGCACATTTTCCATCTGATTATCGACTTCAGGTTATGTGGAGCTTTAAAAGAAAAAAAAAAAAAAAGAAGTAGGGGAGGAGGGAGCGGGGGAAGAGAGAAGCTTGCATTATTTCCAGATGAGGGTGAGACTGGATGGTGTTTTAAAGTGCAACCGGGAAAAACCACAAGTGGAGTGTATTTTTTTAAAGTCAGTCCATTGAATGAAACTTCAATGATGCCCAAATGAAAATAAATCCGAAATAGGACCTCCCTCCCACCACCCCCCACCAAAAAAAAGGGGGGGGGGGACAGGAACCCTGCTGCGATCTCAAGATAAACAAACAAAACCTCAAAACTGGTTCTTCAAGCTTCCCAAGCCCACCCTCCCTCCCCCCTACACACCAGCTGCCAGTCCAGACTTTAAGGATAAAATACCGCTACAATGTAGCACTTTCACTTTCATTTGCTGAGAGAAACCTGCCACTGGGGAGAAAATGCCCAATGTTTTCCATGTCCTAAGCAAGCAAACAAAGTCTGGCACATACATCGGAAACAGGAAAAAATGTGAAAATAGCTCAGGACAAATGTTGCCTTTCAACGGTGTAATCTGCTGCATCATTTATCTGTCTCTACCATTGAGTGTAGAATAGGGAGCTGTTTAAGAGTTTCCGAGGTTGGGGGCAGGGGAAAATTGACGCCTTGAAATTCCAGTCCTTAGTTAATGCCAAGTCGATTTCCGATGGCCAGAACCAGAAAGGAGAACTGGACCAGGGGGAAGGGAGTAGGATGATCTTTCCCAACACCGGCTCTTAAATTTCAAGCTTCTGCTAACATTATTGCCCATTTGATTTTTTTTTTTTTTTTCTTCCTACGCCGGAGGTAGTAGGTGTAATTCTTCTGGTGAATCTATGAATAGTTGGCTAAAAGGAGGCATGAATCAGACCGAGAACGTCCAAGAATACAATTATTTCAATTCTTCTTCAAGGGTTGAAAGTGTCCGGAAAGCATCTGTCCACAGTCAATAGTCCTCATCCTGACGTTAATCAGTAGTATTTGGCTAAATGCCATTTAAAATGTAGAAATCTGTTCAATAGTTGGCCTTGAGTTTTAAATAAAGATGATTCACATGTATGTATGTATGTGTGTGTATTTGTATGTGTACATATGTGTGTACATATATGTGAAATACATGAGGTAGCAAAATATAGCAAGAATTGTAAACACCAAAAATAAGAAAAGTAGGCATCAAATGACTATTTAAATAGTTTTGAACCTTAACCTTCCTTAATTTTTCCAGTACTGGCAGTAAATAGGGACAGCCAGTACACACACAAAAAATAAAGGTATGAGCAGTAAACATCTATGTAAGCTCTCTGAAAAGATTTTACCCTCAACTAAGATAAACTGCCCTACAAAGTAGCAGCTTGTAGAGGAGCTTACTTAGTGGGAGTGGACTTTGGCTAATTACTTATTCAAAGAGTGCCATCCTGTGTCTAAACAGAGTAATGAAACTTTTCCAGCAGATTCTGTCTCCAAGTGATTGGGTCAAGAATACTGTGAAAAACTGGTGAAAATTGATTAGGGTGGGAAATGGCGAATTGTCAATTTAACTTTATATATGTGTATATATATATGTGTTTGTGTAAATATTTTAACTGCATTGCAGAAAATTTCAAACATATACCAAAAAAAAAAAAAAAAAAAAAAAAAAACAGTATAATGAACACTCATGCAGCCATCATCCAGTTTCAAGTGTTCAAGTGTGACCCACTTTGTTTCATCTATTAGGTATTCCCATTAGTTGTTCCATCAACCCTACTGTATGAAGTCAACCTCGGATATCATTTCATTGCATCCATTAAGTATTTCCCTGTATTTCTAAAATAAAAGGACTAAAAAATAAATACACACCACTATTATTCTTAAAACATCAGTAACTCTTTTCTTAAAACATCAGTTACTCTTTCATGTCATCAAATATTGTACTCAGCTGTCCCAATTGCAAAAAGGGCTTTAAAAAATGCCTCTTTTATTAGAATCAAGATCCATACATTGCAATGGCTTGATCTCTTTTTAAATAAACTTTTAATTGAAGTAAAATATTCACGCAGAAAAATGCATAAATAATTATATAGTTTGATGACAAGTGTTCAGTCTAATGAATTTTCACAAGTGAACTGTCCCGTGTAACCGCCATTCTCTTAAGTCTCTTTTAAATTTTTATTTTATTATCTATTTACTTACTTAAATTGACTAATAAATATATATATATATTAGCTGAGACTACAGGCATGAACCACCATCCCCAGCTAAGTTTTTGTTGTTGTTGTTGTTGTTTTTTTGAGACGGAGTCTCGCTCTGTCGCCCAGGCTGGAGTGCAGTGGCATGATCTCGGCTCACTGCAAGCTCTGCCTCCCGGGTTGACCCCGTTCTCCCGCCTCAGCCTCCAGAGTAGCTGGGACTACAGGCGCCCGCCACCACGCCCGGCTAATTTTTTGTATTTTTAGTAGAGACAGGGTTTCACCGTGTTAGCCAGGATGGTCTCAATCTCCTGACCTCGTGATCCGCCTGTCTGGGCCTCCCAAAGTGCTGGGATTACAGGTATATCTTACCATTTTAATACAAGATATTTAAATTAATAAGATATTTAAATACAAGATATTTAAATACAAATATCTTGTATTTAACACTTCTGTTACCATGGAAATGTATGTACTATACCCATCCATTTTTTTCTTCATAAACTAAACACTGAAAGAATTTTAGTTGCAATAAAAATTCTTGAAAATTATTATAGAGACCAATTTTTTTCTCTTTCAAAACTTTTCCCTCCAGCTTTTCTTTTCCTTCTTCGTTTAATTAAGAAATGAAGATTGGGCCGGGTGCGGTGGCTCACGCCTGTAATCCCACCACTTTGGGAGGCCGAGGCGGGCGGATCATGAGGTCAGGAGATCGAGACCACGGTGAAACCCCATCTCTACTAAAAATACAAAAACTTAGCCGGGCGTGGTGGCAGGCGCCTGAAGTCCCAGCTACTCGGGAGGCTGAGGCAGGAGAATGGCGTGAACCCGGGAGGTGGAGCTTGCAGTGAGCCAAGATTGCGCCACTGCACTCCAGCCTGGGCAACAGAGCGAGACTCCCTCTCAAAAAAAAAAAAAAAGGAAGAAAGAAAGAAATGAAGATTACGGGCAGAATAGAGTTGACAGGAAACTCCTTAGTCACATCTTAAAAAAAAAAAGCTAGCAGTCTTTAGAAAACTAATATACTTAAGTGAACCCCATTCAGGAAACCAGAGATGAAATAAATGGAAACTGGGGAGGGAAGAAATTTATTTATATGTATATATTTCAAAAACCAAAAAACAGAAGCTATATTAGTCAGGTTTCTCTAGAGGGACAGAACTAATAGGATAGATGTATATATGACGGGGAGTTTATTAAGTATTGACTCACACGATCATAAGGTGAAGTTCCACAATAGGCCATCTGCGAGCTGAGAAGCAAGGACACCAGTCCAAGTCCCAAAACCTCAAAAATAGAGAAGCTGACAGTGTAGTCTTCAGTCTATGACCAAAGGCCCAAGGGCCCCTGGCAAACTACTGGTATAGGTCCAAGAGTCCAAAAGCTGAAGAACTTGGAGTCCGATGTTTGAGGGCAGGAAGCATTCAGCACGGGAGAAAGATGAGGCTGGAAGACTCAGTCAGTCCAGTACTTCCACGTTCTTTTGCCTGCTTTTATTCTAGCCATGCTGGCAGCTGATTAGATTGTGCCCACCCAGCTTGAGGGTGGGTCCTCCTCTCCCAGTCTGCTGACTCAAATGTTAATCTCCTTTGGCAACACCCTCACAGACACATCCAGGAACAATACTTTGCATCCTTCAATCCAATCAAGTTGACACTCAACATTAACCATCAGAAGTCTACCTTTTGCCAACTTGAACTCATACACATCTCCTGAAATCATACATAATCTTCAAATAAAGACAATAATAATAAGGTCATAATTATGCCTAACATAATACAGCTATCTCTATCCTTTGTAAAACCGGAAGCACACTAATCCTTTAACTGCTATTACATAAAGTTGCCACTTAAATGCTGATATGAAGTCAATAAATTTTATGCCACACGATAAAGGAAAAAGGAAAATGAAGATATTTTCTTAGTACAACTGTATACATGTATAAACATGTTCTTAATAAAATAAGGAGGAAATACTCATGAGAATTATAGTCCTTGTTTCTGCAACTGGTAACGGTGGTCATAGCTAGTACTGATGACAACCTTCTTCTACTACTCATTCTGTATTCCGTGTGCCCTCAGCAAGCACCTCAGCAGGTCGTGGTTTTCTACCTGGTAGAGTAACCCAAACCTTCATTCTGGAAGGGTCTGGGTCATTTTTAGTCCTGCTTAGAGTGGGTTGTTGTAGTTTCCCATTGACCTTAATCACAGGGCATGGTAATACTA